CATTAAGGTTTTTTCCTTGGCTACCCCGTGCCTCCATTGGAAAGCCAGTCTTTCTGCGGCTAGAAAAAAATTATTTCATAAAAATGTTGGTATAAATACCAACATTTATAGGGGCCTCACTGCTTACAACTAAATGGATGAAGCCTGCTTTGGTTATTGAGGATGTATGTCGGGGATCCCCGACCCTCAGGCTGCCACCCATTACCATGTTGTGGCCTATACAAGAGGCGGGCTGGTGGGATCACTCATATGCGGGCCAATTCCCCTCTAAGCCCCCCCAGCTGGGTCCACCTAAAAGGTCCCTTCCAAATCTTCAGTTCTCTTGCTGAGCTATCCCGTTTGACCCACCAACCACTAGAGGGCAACTTCCCAAATTGTCATCTTGTTGTTGTGTTTCCTCAGTAGGGTTCAGGGCTTAAATTGATCTAAAACATTTGCATAGAAATTTATCAAGCTGAATCTTGTGTTATCATCCCAGAGAGGCCTCCAAAGTTTGAGGAACTACTTTAGCTGTTGGATTGTGGTTATGCCCAACGCCCCCAAAAGAAAAATAAAAAGATTTTGTGCACTCACAGCTAGCGCGGCTGCCATTGTTCCCCTTTCTTTGCTGTGTTGAATCTGCACACTAAATAACCTGTGTGTTCAAGGGGGCAGTCTAATAAATGGTGCAAAAGATGGAAGAGAACTTGGGTTGATGTCAATCTTAGACTTTCTGGATCCACCAATGTTGAAAGAAGATTTGCACATTTGGTGGGGAAGTTACATTAAAGGACGCGACACATCAGGAATGCAAACCCAGGACCAGGCAATGTATGCGCTTAAGAGGGAAATTAGGTACCTTCAAGCTGTCTCTCTGTTCAGTAGGATTTTGCCCACCTTGAAAATGGTTCTTGAGAAGTTCTTCGGAGCACATTACAAACCCAGAGGGATCATATCTCCGCTAGTTTTTAAAGCAATCTCTTGTGTTTCTGTCCTATAGAAAACCTCTTTAAAAAAACCATTTTTGCAATGCTGCCTTTTTTTAAAAGATTTTGACAGGCACTGCTGTGCTTGGGTTTCTGGATTATGAATGTGTGTGTGTGTGTGTGTGTGTGTGTGTTTGTGTACTATATATATATATGTATGTATGTATGTATGTATGTAGGTAGGTAGGTAGGTAGGTAGATAGATAGATAGATACACACATACATAGATACACACATACATACATACAAACATACATACATACAAACATACATACATACTACAGGCAAGTACCAAAAGGACTTAAAATTGGGATGGTGGTGGTGGTGCCTTTACTTAACAGAGCTGTGATGGCACAGTGGTTAGAATGCAATATTATATTGCAGGCTAATTCTGCTGACTGCCAGCAGTTCGAACCTGACCAGCTCAAGGTTGGACTCAGCCTTCCATCCTTCCCAGGTCAGTTAAATGAGGAGCCGGGGTGCTGAGGGAAATATGCTGACTCTGTAAACTGCTTCGAGAGGGCTTAAAGCAGTATGGGGCAGCTAACAGCAGCCTTGTTTAGCAAAGGAAATCCTGGCCTCATGGTCATAAATCAAGGACTACCGATATCCAAATGTAGGCTTACAAAGCAGAGCGTGAAGGGGAAGTTAGAGAAGGGGAACTGGAGCAATTTCTCTGCCCATCAGAAAGACTTTCTCTCTTTTTATATTGACTGGGGAGAGCCAATCCGGCCATGATTCCCACAAACACCTGGCTCAGGCATCACTTTGGGAAGGACAGCCATTTGTCTCCCTGTCCTCCATCTCAAGGATGGCTTTGGTGTCTTCCATTCTTCAAACCATTAGTGGTGACTATCAATCAAGGGAGACAGCGAGGTGGGGGGGGATTTCTGGGCTGGCAACATTAAAATCAGTCCAGAAGTAGAAAAATAGCCTCTTCCTTGCCATAGTCCAGGAGAAAGAGTTGTGATGACCTTCTACAGGCCTCTTGGCTGCAACAAATGCTTGAGCAAGGAGTTCCTTCAAAGCAGTCTTCCCAAGGAGGAGGGAGGTGCCTTGATTTGTCTGGGGGAGGAGTCTAGAGGCACATGCATAAAAGCCACTTCCATTCAAAGGAAGGGACCAGGAGAGGAAGACTTGAGAGGCCACCACACAGCCACCTCTGGAAGTCGAATTACCTTCCCAAGGCAGGTACTCCACAGTCCCCAGAGAAGGTCATTCTACAGTAATGATTGGAGATAACATTGAAGCTACA